GAGTGTTCTATGAGACTGGACCATCTTAGCTAAAGGCTTTGAAGTTTTCTTGAGTAGTTTGTAGGACTGATCTTTGAGTGGTGTTTGTAAGCTTAGTGGCATAACCATACTTCCAGGTGGATTCATAATTGTGGTGCTTCAACATATTTTTGGAGACTTCAAACATCATTGTTAGGAATGGTCATGGTTCACTGCAGGAAACTTAAACATTTTAAAGTTACATGAAGCAGATACTAGAGAGGTTAAAGGACCACAATTAAATACACCCAGGGTACACAAACTTAGCTCCTAGTACCTGGTTCAGATTCAAGCCTGAAATCACATATAGGAAGCTAGATGTAGCCTATTTTTAGAATCAGTTAATACTGTACATGACCATTAATATCATGACACAAATTTTAAATATATGTGTGTGTGTGTATTAACCTTATAAATTTTGAGATAATCTTTCACCTAAGAAAAGTTTAAAAGAGTCAAAATAAAACCAAAGACTTATGAGATTAGTGGTAATAGAGTAGTGTCTCATTTTGGTTTTTCTTTTGTCCCATACAAGGCGTCTCTTGTGACATGAGACAGAGATTTTGGATTTTCCTTAACCAAGCATGCTTGGGTTTAGAGGAGAGAGCCACACTCCAACTCCAAAGCCAGCTTTACTTTTTACTTGAATGGGGAGTACAAAAAGACCATTTGTCTTATAGATTTGAGGAGAACAGTAGAGACAAGCATTTGGGAAGATTAATGAGATTTCATAATATAGGAAGTGTGCTATACCATTAGGCCAATTTATTCTTTTTCTCAGGGCATTTTCCCTGGATGATTTGCCCTTTTTCAGATGTCTTATTTGTCCATTGGTCTTTGGATTCCTTAGTTGGATGCTTTTATTCTCCTGGAAAGACAAAACAAAACTCTGCCTCAACGTTAACTTTGAGGAGTTTCCTTTTTGGGCAGGTTGAATTCCATGCTGTTTGATGAACTATCACTTCTCTTAATCAAGATGTCTCTCGTGAGTGATTATAATCTTTATCAATTTTGATGGTATCCATAGCTTTTCTTTTCCTGTGGAAACAAAAGCAAAACCTCTTTTTCAACCTAACACATCCTGTTTTCCATTCTGCCATCAGTGCATCCTTAAAGTATACAGGATGATTTAGTTCAACTTTTTTTGCTGCTATCCAGTGTCTCTCTGTAGTGGTTGTTCCATTCTCATTGGCATTTAAAAATTTTGAGGTTAATAAAGCATTGTGTAATTTATATCTGGGGGTCTTTATTACTTCTTTTTTATTAAGCATATTTAAAAAAATCTGATTAAATCTTTCTGTAAGTGTTTGTCCTTTATGATTGTGGGATATACCTATAATATGCTTTATGTTGTAATATGCAAAAACTGTTTCATTTTGCTATAGACATATGCTGAAGCATTGCCAGTCTTAATTTGTGCACTTATTCTCATGACGGCCATGACTTTTAATAGATGTGTAATTAGAGTCAACCTTTTCAGAACTCAAAGCTGTTTCCACTGAAATCCTGAATAAATATCTATGCATGGTGTACATACTCTAATTTTCCAAATTCTGCCAAATGAAACACATCCATTTGCCAAATTTCATTTGAGTAACCTTTGGGTTACTTCTTACAGGTAGTGGAGTTTGATTATACTATATATATATATATATATATATATATATATATATATATATATATATATATATATATATGTGTGTGTGTGTGTGTGTGTGTGTGTGTGTGTGTGTGTGTGTGTGTGTTTTCTATACAAGTTTGACTTTTATTTCTAATTATTTCTTGTAATTGAATAAATAACAAAATTAATTCTAAATCATCTGAAATAAGTTCAGCAATTTCAATGGTTAAAACATCTCTTTCTTCATATTAAAGTCTGTTAGTATATTAAGAGGTTCTGGGAAATCTAATACCATGAGTATATCATATAATTCTGACTCTTGAGCAGAATCATAAAGGCTTTGACCCACTTTACTTAAATTTCATGACTTATAACCTGCCTTTTCTGACTTATTCTCATCAGTATAGAATGTAGAAGGCCTGGAAAGATGGCTCAGTGGTTAAGAGCACTGGCTGCTCTTCCAGAGGACCCTGGTTCAGTTGCCAGCACCCACCTTGCAGCTCACAACTCTTTGTAACTCCAGTTCCAAGGGACCCTACACCCTCACAGATAAAACACCAGTGCACATAAAAAATTAAATAAAAAATTAAAATGCCAATTAGATGGTTCAGCAGGGAAGGTGCTTGCCACCAAGCCTGATGACCAGAGTTCAAGTCTTGGGATCAACCTGATGGAAAGAGAGAATAGATTCCTACAAGTTGTCCTCTGACCTTCATATATAGGCCATATCATGTACATATATCACACATGCATGTGTGCACGTGTGGACACACACACACACACCCACACACACACACACACACACAAACACACACTCAGATAAGTAAAACAATTGTGGGATACCTCACTCAGTCTTGATGCAGTGGGGAGGAGCTTGGTCTTGTCTAACTTGTTATTGTCATGCTTTGTTGACTCCCATGGGAGGCTTTACCCTTGCTGAGGAGTAGATGGGGATAGAAAGGAGGTGGGGGAGGGAGTAGGATTAGAGGAGGGAGGGCAAACTATGATTGGTATATAAATAAATTTAAAAATTTTAATTAAAAAAGAATGTAGGGGCTGTAGAAATTGGTGTTGATTTCACAATGTCAAGAAGGATCCAATTAGTTTTTTTTTTTTTTTTTATAAATTGGAGTTTCTTGCTTTGGGGATGTTTGTTGATAATCTCCTCAAAGAAATTAGTGCAAGCCCTTTTCTTTTCTTTTATTTTTTTGTTCATTTTCTGCCCATAATGAGGAAATTTCAGCATTAGTAAAGAGTACCACAATTTCTGCTTGGTCTATGCTTTCAATTGACAAAGTCTCAGTCTTCTTTTAGAATCAATTTATAAACCTTTGCTACATAGGTATTTAATGCTTTTATCTCTGTTTCTGTTGCAACAGTATCCACTCTAAAATATTATCATCTCTCTGCAAAGAGATTCCTGTAGAAGAAATTGTGGAAGGTAGTATGACCAAATACAACCATATTCTGCATCCAAGCAATCCACATGAGCATCCTGTAGTTTCTTTTCTAAGCCAATTCTCTTTCACCTTCAACTGATAAGTTTTTGGACTATTTAAGTCTTTGTCACCTTGTAAAGTTTGAAATAAAATACTTAGTTCTTAAATTTTTAATGACTGAGGGCCATAACAGGTAATATCTCCCAGCAATTTTTGAAAACTTTTACGAGTTCGTAGTTGGTCTGGATTACCTCACTCAGTATGATATTTTTCTAGTTCCATCCATCTACCTGGAAATCTCATGATTGCATTGTGTGAGTGTCATTGTGTGAGTGTGTCATACTTTTTAATCCATTCATGTGTTGATTGACATCTAAGTTGTTCCAATTTCTGGGTAGTATGAATAAAGCATCAATGAACATGTTTTAACAAATGTCTTTGTAGTAGATCCTTCTTCAAAGGCTTCGCCTGGCCTCTCATGCTCCCAAGCCTGAGCTGTTCTCCGTGACCTCTTCATGCCTTCACAACCAGTACCCGTTACACTACCAAGTCCAGTTACCAGCATGAGTACAAGTTCAGGTCTTCTGGAACACAGCTTTTGTGGGCTGATCCCAAGGAAACACTTACCAGAAGACATCACCTAGATGATGCTGGTCTCTTCTTAATCATATCTGATTTCTCCAGCCAAGTTGACCAGCATCCATTGTCCCAGCAAAGCAAGGATTTTACTTTAGTGGTTCTGGTCTCTGGTTAATCACAGCTGACACCAGCTCTAGCTGACAAGACATCACAGGATCTTTACACAAAAGTCCTGATAGACTCTTTCCTTCCATCTGAAACTTCACAACCCAGGTCTCCATTATTTCAATATTCTTACCTTCCAAAGTCCTATAGAATAGGACATTGGGCACTCAACACTCAATGACTTTTCCAGCCCAAAGGTACCAAATCCTTCCACCATTCTCTCCAAGACAACATGGTCAGGTCTGTTACAGCTATACCCCACTATCCTGGTACTAAATTGTTCTATTAATAGTACTATTGCTGTGATGAAATATCTTGACAAAAGCAATCTGGGGAGAAAAGTGTTTATGGTAATATTTTATTTGAACTGAAATGTGATTTCATTTGTATGTTAATAAATAACGTTGCCTGGGGGTCAGAGCTAATAGCAAGCCATAGCAGAAGTCTGGCAGTGGTAGCACATGCCCTTAATCCTGATCATATGACGGGCAGATCTCAGTGTGCTCAAAGATACAGTCAGCATGGACACACATGCCTTTAATATTAATACCAACCATAGAAGACCTGGATGTCTGTATAGATGGGCAGTGACGAGGAGGTCATGTGGTTGGGTTTACAACCAATGAGAAAGCAGAACAGAAAGTCAATAAAAATATAGATACACAGGAAGCAGCTCTTGCTGAGTGGAAGGACAGCAGCAACAGTGAAGGGTAAAAAAGGGTTTTTAGCTCTTAGCTATTGCTCTGACGTCTTGGGCTTTCAACTAGGCATTTTGCTTTGTGTTTCTTATTTAATAAGACTGTTCATCTACAAGTGTTTATTTGGCTTATGCTTCCATATCTTCATTGTTCACCATTAAAGGAAGTTAGGACAGCAACTCGCACAGGGCAAGAACCTTGAAGCAGGAGCTGATGCAGAGGCCTTGGAGGAAACCTGCTTACTCGATTACACCCTGTGGCTTGCTAATATGACTTTCTTAGAGAACCCACCACCAGCAGGCCTGGGAATATCCTGCCAACAGTAATCTGCCATGCTCCATTATCAACTACTAAGTAAGAAAATGCTCTACAGGCTTGCCCAGGGTCCATGGTCATGGATGCATTTTCATAACTGGAGTTCCTTTCTCTCAGATGACTGTAGCCTGTTTCAAGCTGACTTAAAATTAGTAAGTATGATACATACCTGTGCTCCTGCTTGGCAGCAATAAGATAGTAAAATATTATATGCATAAATATGTATATATCACAGACATATATAAACAGCTACATGAATGTTTTGTGGTGCTAGAATCAAACTGAAGGTCCTGAGCATACTTAAAAAGGGCTCTAGGACCAAACTAAAGCTTTAGTCCTAATTAGTAATTCTGACAAATTTGAAAAACAAATGAACAAACAAGACAAAGCCACTTTGAAAGGATGTTATCTTGGTATAACACGTGAGCCACAGATGAAAAGGAAACATAGTCAACCATCTTTTTCATGTAATAGTATTTTAATATTTAATAGCAGTAAATGAGGTAACAGAATAAATACTTTCAAAATACCAAAGTACTGGATTACATCTTCCTATGACCAAGTGTAGCCAGTGAGGAAGAAAGGCTTGACCTGATAATTAAAGGTGCCAGGGGGGTACCTGTATATGAGAGAACTCTTAGCAACATTCAGGAAACTTAAACTTCCATCCACACAATCAAGGAGCACCCCAACTCGACCTATTGGCTTCTCTATATAGTGCTGGAATACTGGGCACGTGGTGAGGAGACTATAATGACTACCCTCCTTCACACACACAAGAAGAAATGCACCTTCATATTCAATCAGTTGGTTTCTACTCCTCAACCAGGAATCCTTACAGACCCCTACAGCCCAGTCCCAAGAGTCCTTTAAATCCAGTTCCCAGTAATATTTCCCAGAGGTGAAGGAGTTCTTTGATCTCCAGGAAGCAAAATAGCATCCAGCAGAAACTGCAGAAGTATCATTATGGTGAGGTCGAAAGATAAATCTTCTCATGGCATTAAGTATGTTCATCTTGTGATGGAATACGATTGTATTTTCAAAGAAAATGTGAACTGTTGGAAGAATCAACATTTTAGTTAAAATGACCATTTACATTTCTCAGGTGAGAGAGGTCTGTAGAGTCTTCTTGATCTTAAAAAAGTGAAGGCTAAGACTTGGAGTCATACACAAAGTGATGGATTTCCACAAGAAACAGAATAGTAGCATGAAACTTTGTAAGTGCTGTAGAGGAGCTTGCCTCAGCCTACTTCTATCAGATGACTTTTATTACACTGGGCAAAAGATGATGTGTGTATTGTAGCGAGGGCCAGAGCAAAGGCTATGCTTGTGTGTCTACATCAAAAGTTATTACCAAGGTATAAGCAGTGATAACTTTCCTATTAGTGTTTTGATTTGCATCTAACTGAGCATATTTATACTCAAGGAGAATCTAAATATGCTCTAGAAGTGGATCCCTGAATGTATCTGTCCTCCTTTAACCTCTGGTTCCTCTGATACTCTTTCCCTGTGAGGTTACAATTGACTTTTAGATCTCTGAGAGGGATTTAGACACTGCCTCATGGCCTATCAATTTGTTTCATTTTCATTGCTCATGATACATGGCCTTGTCTGTTTAGTTATTTTATGATTTTTCTTTTCCGGTTCCTTTTGTGATAGGGTCTTGCTATTTATCCTTGACTGGCATGGAACTCACTATGTTGACCAGACTGTACTCAAACTCATTGGCAGTCCTCCTTTCTCTAGTTTTTTGATGTTGGGATTATGAGTGTGCACCACTAGATCCTGTGCATTTTTAACTATGGAGTTAACTGCAATGTAAGAAATTAATTGCTAAAATGTTTAAAGGAAAATATTCAAATATATCCATCACTGGCTACACTTAATTTGAATTAAACCATTCTGAATTAATTTATAATTTCTTATGTCTCAGTGAACAACTGATACTCTTTTCAGCCAGTATCACATACACCATGATTTTGATATTCATTTATGTTTGTTTGTTTTTTAAGATGACCACCTGATAAAATAAGATTACAATGTGACTCACCTGGATATATTACTGGGGAGTTAAAATATTTGTGTTTGCAAAAGATATCTCATTATTGAAGGGTACCTTTGGTCATTTTATCAGTGGAGACACTCACCTTGAAACTGTTTGTAACTTTCACTCAATCCAGTGATGGGTAGGGCATTGAGTTCTGGGTTCGTAGTCTGAGGCATGCTCAGCTGCATTGACTCACTCCTGCAAGGTAAAGAAAATATTGATATGCCTGGTGCTAAAGATATTATCACAGTGATTAGGAAAAACCTCACTCCAAGTACAGCCAAATGGATCTGGGGATAAGTCCCTTGTTACACAAGTCTAAAAACTTGAGTTCAATCCCATGGTGGAAGGAGAGGACTGTCTCCTGAAAGATGTCCTCTGACTTGCACATCTGTGCAATGGCACATGTACATGTACATTCACACACATTCATACACATAAGTATAACAAATCAAATAGAAGAATCCCAAACATATTAAACACCAACAATTGAGTACTTTCTATATAGAGTATATCTGTACTTTGCTAAGGCAGGTTCATCAATTTTATAGCACATTTCAGGGTATCCTGGGTTGCACTGATATCTAAACTCACCTTCTGAACACGTCATCCAAACCCTGCAAACAAAACAAGAAAAAATTAGATATCTTAAGAAATGGCACACAAAGTTTGTTTTTAAAGTTCAGGTAATTTTAGTCACCATCACATTTATCTACTGTTAAAACTTATAGTTATGTCTCAAGATAATGCCAATGAAGCAGTTTAGCAGAATTCAAATTCTTGTTGCATTTAGACTGCAAGAGTAAAATTTGAGAAGGACAAGGGCAGTGAACGAACATTGCATTTGAACCTCCACTTGTCTGAAAAGGTGACTTTTTCTGAGCTTTGCTACAAAGCAAGGGATACTTTAAGTAAGAGTACTTCAAATGGATAAGTTCACCTCTGCATGGTGCCTCACACCTGTAATTCCTGAATTACAGAGTTAGAGGCCTGAGCATTACTGTGAGTTGCAGGCCACCATCCACCAGAAAAGGATCTTATCTAAACCTCCAAAATCCCAAACTCCCAAAGAACTCTCAAAAACACAGCTTTCAAAGATAAGATATTAAGACATAGGTCACTTTAAAATTGTGCACAATATCCAAGTAGAGGGAAAAAGAGTGTTGGAAACAGCAACCACTGAATTTGGGTTCTCAGAGAAGCAAGGTACAAAAGCCAACAGTTAGGACATATTCCTTGGGAAATCTACTGACAATTTCAACATGCTTGTTCTTTCAAGATTATTCGTAAAAAGGAAATCCCCTAACGTAAATACAGGGGACATTGAAAGCTATCTTAGTATATCAATCACCGGTGTGTGCCTAAGACAATAAAGCCTCTTCCTGCCCTCCTTCATGCCTACCTGCAGCAGGACCACATATGGCTCCTGGGACATTGCCATCAGCTCCTGATATATTTCTCTTAGTTCTTTGTTCTTTTGGACCATCATGGCTTCACTTGTTCTGAGTTTCTCTAAAACACAATGGCCTTTATTTCTCATACACTCAATGTGTTTCTCTTCTTCTTCACAGAGGAGTGGATGCAGTTTCCTATACTCTGTCCTGATCATTTCTTCCCGAAGAGTCAAGTACTCCTGAACAAAAAGGGACATTCCAATAATATTTGCAAACATTTTATCCTCCTCCATTGCATCCTCCTATGCTTACATTTCACAAATGACTTCTATAACTTTGCACATAGACTGTGATTGACTGTCCCCACTTTTCAGAAAATGTAAATTCCTTGGTTTCATTTATTTCTTCTTTATTAATTACACAGGCAAACAGACACTAAGCATTTTCACCTATATTAGAGATGCAGAGGTGCCTGAAGAAAAGGTATTGATTGATAATTCATATGTTCACAAAGTTATGAAATTCTGCATGTAGTAATTAGAATTCATGGTGTAGTCATAGAGTCTAATGCAGGTTGCTGAACTGTCAGCAGTTCACTCATTATTTCCAGACACTTCTGCCACAGCCAGACCATTCATTCCACATATAGTTATACTAACACTAGGAATTAGAGGCTAGCAGGACATGTACTCCTAATATCATATCCAATGCCTTATACTCAAATCTTAATTGATGAATTTTAAAAAATATTTACTTCACCCAGATTTTAAGCATGGATCTCATACTTACCATCCACCGAGTTATCATTCTGTTCTCTGCCTCTATATTCTCTTGATTTTCTTGGATCTTCTCCCATAAAGATGCCATTTGCTTCAAAAGTCTATCCTGTAAAAAAACAATGAATATCAATTTTGAAAAATATAACTGATTGACAGACTCTAGGGCAATTAATACAATTACTTTAGTGAGATTAGAAGGATCACAATATTAATTTTTTTCTTTTTTAACTATGAATTTTAGATTTCAGAACATAGAAATAGAAAGTACAGCATACCCTTTCTCTCAGGTATACTGCTTAATAATTTTGATTAATGTCTGGGTAATTTGAATAAGATTGGGATTCCCAGATTCTTGGATGTACCTGATTCCAATGTATTTTATTAATTTAGTCTCCAGGCAGAGACACTTTCAAAAGATATGAATTCAGTATTGCTGTTTCCAGTGACCTAGGCATAATGTATCATAAAATACAAATGATCTTTTCACTCATGGGTCAAGGCATATTTACAATTCTAGTCACCCTTTCTTTATTAGCTCTTATTAAAGTGCCACCATTCTGAAAACAGTTCCTTTGTCATAATGAGGACCAGCATATTCCTGTGGTTTGCTAAGCCTAACTTTCTCCAGCTTGCAAGTTCTCTCAGAAGCATCACTTACCATTTGATCCTCAGCAGCTGCTTCAATGGGACAGTGTCTGTGTCCTCTGTGCTCATGGGAGTTAGAGCAGAGTTGACAGAGGAAGATCCTCTTCTCAGCACAGAAGATCCTCTTTGCTTCCTTATGAGTCACACACTTATGCTCCTCAGAGCTCAGGTCCTTCATGAGGCTGGTTTGTCTGGCAATGGACACCAGCTTCTTCAGAACAATGTTAGTTCTCAAGCCCTTCTTCTGGGATGGTTCCCTGCACATAGGGCATTGGACAGGAAGTTGGATGTCTTCCCAGGAAAGGTGGAGGCAGGCTTGACAGAAGCTGTGGCCACAGCTTATGGTGACTGGGTCTGTCAGGCAGCTCAGGCAGATGAAGCAGGTGAGTTCTTTCTGGAAGGCTTGTGAGATGTCTGACTCCATTTTTCTGAAGGAGGAAAAGCAGTATTGCTATTATTGGACCCCGAAGAAAGAAGAGACTGCACAAAATTTCCATCAAGTTGTGATTCAATTCTGTTTTTGGCAAAACTTTTGGGTGACCAAAAATCAACATTAGTATAGGATTTCAGTTGCTGATTGCTGTGGGATGGTCTGTATGTCAAATGTGTTGCTGATTGGTCAATGAATAAATCACTGATTGGTAAGTGGCCAGACAGGAAGTATGGGCGGGACTAACAGAGAGGAGAATTGAGAGAACAGGAAGTTGGGTGATGGAGACACTGCCAGCCGCCATCAGGACAAGGAAGATGTAAAGTACCGGTAAGCCACAAGCCACGTGGCAAGGTATAGATTAATGGAAATGGATTAATTTAAGCTGTAAGAACAGTTAGCAAGAAGCCTGCCACGGCCATACAGTTTGTAACCAATATAAGTCTCTGTGTTTACTTGGTTGGGTCTGAATGGCTGTGGGACTGGTGGGTGTCAGAGATTTGTCCTGACTGTGGGCCAGGCAGGAAAACTCTAGCTACAGCTGATCTTTCCTGTTTCACTCTTCTTGACCGAAGCATGGATTCATCTAATGATCTTCTGCGTCCCACCACCTGCATCACTTTTGGAGACTCCATCCAAGTCAGTACCTTGGTTCGTGGTCTGAGACATGATCTCTCAATTCTTAAGAAAAAAATTATACACTGTGGAGTGATCTAATTCCTTCATGCCCACATGTTGGCCTTTCACTACAGACATAGGTAAGTTAAACACATGCTTCTTTGTTGTCTATCCAAGAAAACACTCCCTATTTCACATGGTCCATTATAAATGATTTGCTTGATTTCTGATGTGAGTGTCCAACAGTTTTACATGCCACTGTCCTGCCCCATGACACTTGAAGGCAATATTAGTTACTTATCTTCTTTTTGTTGAAAATATGTAACGAGAATAAGAATTATGGTGGCTCATAATTCAAGGATATTGTTCATCATTGTGGGGAAGAAATGATGGCAGGAGCTTGAGGTAGCTGGTCTCATGGCATCCAAAATCAGGAAGCAGAAAGCAAGGAACACTTGCTGCTCAGCTCCTGTTCCATTTCTTTTTTCAGATTAAGACCTCAAGCCACGGAATGGTCAAGTGATCTCTTGAGCATTTAGTGTGGTTTTTTCCAAGTGTGCTGAATCCACACCAAATAATCCTTTAGACATCCCCAGATGTTTCTATGTCTTTCCTAAATCCCATTGAGTCCAATACTAAGGTACTCTCTGGGGAAACATTTGTTTACTAAAGATACAGCTCCTGGCTTGAGTTTATGGGATGAACATGAGGCATAAATTAGGTTCTCATGACTGTTGAGAATTGGCTATCTAATCAACAGGTGTCCATTGTCCTTCTCTTTAAACATCTACACAAATAAAGAATTTTGGTTTGACCAAGTTAAACATCCCTCAAATAACTTAAGCTTCTGGAGTCTGAAGCAAATGGAGTCAATGATTTTAGTATTTAAATCGATAATAATACTAATACTCATTGTCAAGATTAGTTTAGAAAAGCGATGCAGACTCCAATGCTGCCTTCCTTAAATTACCTGATGGACCTCATTTGGTATTTTTTTCTGTACATTAGATACTTCATTCCAAAATAATTCATGAGTTCACAGAAATAATGAAAACTGAACACAGAATTGAAAAATTGCACCAGCGTATAACCAGAATCTAAGTTTTGAATACAATATTGTGATTAGTTTTCTCTAATTTAATCACACATATACTTCCAACCTAATAAATCTGTCTATAGCAGGAATAGCCAGTTCTTCCAAGATGTAAACTATTATCAAGCATTATTTCACACTGTGATGTTTTCCTCTAGTTTACAACAAAAAAATACTAAAATTTTTTCCTTTGGTAAATCATGAGTTTTCACTTTTATACATAATATTTATAGAATGTATCTCTAAATATTAGTAATTTTCAATCTAATCTCAGCAATTATTTTTATATGTTATCCATAAAATTAATTTAGAGGTGTTGATCTTGCATATATGAAGTACATACAGAAATGCTCTAAAATGTTTTTAAAATTTAGAGAAAGATCAAAATTGAAAAGTATAACATCAGAACAAAGAAAGACTGTATATATATATATATATATATATATATATATATATATATACACACACACACACACACACACACACACACACACACACACACACACATATCTATACTAAAATTTACCTATAGCTGTAACTCACATTGTATTTATGAGGAAAGATGTCCAAATAAGAGCAGACTCTCTTTTGATAAACAGCCAAATTTAAGCAATTTTAAGCAGAAACCTCAGTTTGGTAATACATTAAACATGGGAAATATCAATGACTTTCCAACTGTAAATTGTCTACTTACCCACAAATAGACTCTGGCCTCAGCAGTGTTTAGTGGAAACACAACAATATTAGCTCAGCTCTGGGGTATGATCTTCAATGTGTGGAGGAGATATATCTAGCAGTCTGAGAGCCAGAAGCTATGGAAACACAATCTGTCTGGTGTAGAGAAGAATGAACCTGACTGGGCCCTGGAGTGTCCTTATATACTCTCTAAAGACCACACCCACTTCCTCCCATGTTGCTTTTACTAATGCTTGTTGTAGCTGAGCTCCTATAAATAGCAGTATTCTAAATGGATGGAAGATTGAATTAACTCTATGGCCAGTATCCACAAACAAATCTCCACAACAAGGTTTCCTGAGTTCCTGCTTAGCTGGGTGTGGTAGCTCACACCTTTAATCCATACAGTCCCAGAGGATGAGCTGCTGAAGCAAAAGGAGTTTTAGTTCAAGGCTTGCCTAGGATATACAGTGAGAACTTTTCTAAAAAAATTTGCTACAATATCTCACTGTTTCTAAATATTTCATGGTGTGCTCATATTTTTGATTTTCCTTTTGTAATTTCACAGTTAATGATATCAATCTGTGATGTTATCAAATATCAATATTAAAAATTTCTTAAAAATTCTTTAGAATTGTGTTCAAATCATTTTATATCATATTCACCTCAACTGTGATTTCTTTGAGATTCACCCCACACTCTACCCACTCAACTGTTTGTTCTTTTCTTTTTTCTTTTTAAATAAATACATGGTGAAGCCACGCAGTGGGTGCACATACCTTCAATCCTGGCATTCTGGAGGCAGAGGCAAGCAGATCTCTGTGAGTTAGAGGCTAGCCTGGTCTACAAAGTGTTTTCAAAGATGTGCTCCAAAGATACACAAAGAAACCAGGTTTCGAAAAAAAATTTTGATTAACTAAAACCCAAGAGTCTTAGATTTTTCTTATGAGGGAATTTTCTTGATTGAATCTTTTGAAGTGGGAAGCCCCATCTAATCTCAGATGTTTTGAGGTGTGACAATCCACCTTAAATCTTAGCTGAAGGCAGCCTATATAAAGACATGGAAGAAGGAAACTCTCTCATCTTTGCTCTTTGTTTTCTTGCTCTCAATCTCACTGCCAAGTTCATCCCTTCACTGGTATAAGAGCCTATTTTTTGTGGGGGATTCCAAAGTATACTGAAGACCAGCTGATACATCCACCCTTGTAGACTGAACCACTTTTCTCTGTCTCTCTCTATGTCTCTCTGTCTCTGTCTCTGTTTCTGTGTGTGTGTGTGTGTGTGTGTGTGTGTGTGTGTGTGTGTGTGTGTGTGCCCATATTCATTTAGTTTTGTTTCTCTAGATTCAGGGTGGTTGCTATACTTATCTCTTGGGTTTTAGTTAACTTCACAAGTAGTCAAATTGACAACAAGGAATAGTCATCAGCAGGGATGACCACTTTGTGTATGGATCATTCCAGAACTCGTTCCTAATAGAGCCTAATTCTTTGTCTAGGTGTTGGACTCTCAAAATTAACCACATTCATATCAACGTATTTATTGTTCTGGTCTCTTTTATGCAGCCATTTCTAGGAGAGTCTGTTTCACAGCACAATTCCTGGTATTCTGGCTCTCACTGTCTTTCTGTGTCCTCTTCCACAATATTTCTGGAGCCATTGATGAAGGATATAGATGTATCTGTTGGTGTTCAGATCCCCATGATCTCTTGATTTTTACATTTTGTCCAGTTGTGGTATTCTGTGAGTGTCTGCCTGTATGGCCGATTGATTCTTTTCTATGTTCTTGTAAATAAGCATGACTAGTCTTCTCTTACTTGATCTGAAATCTAATGTATTGTTCAGCTTATAGTAAACCAAGTCGGCTGGTGGTGGTGGTGGAGCACACCTTAAATCCCAGCACTCAGGAGGCAGAGGCAGGGGGATCTCTGTGAGTTCAAGGCCAGCCTGGGCTACAGAGTTAGTTCCAGGACAGGCTCCAAAGCTACACAGAGAAACCCTGTCTCAAAAAACCAAAAAAAAAAAAAAAAAAAAAAAAAAGGAAACCAAATCAAGGATAAAAATTGTTTCATGGATTATGAGTTCAAGTAATGATAGGAATAACTACAAAGAAAACAGGCAGGAAAAATGTGCTTAGTATTTTTTGTCATGCAAGTTGTAAACACTGAGTTGTGTTTAGTGTTTAGAGATCACAAAGAACCATAATGAGTATCTTATCACAGCTTCCAAGGAGTGTGTAAAAAGATGATGAGAAAGACTTTAATATTACATATAACTTACCCATTAAATACTGGGTGAGGGAACTGAAGTTGTCAGACTGGTGATGATTTCCTGTATGTAAAGTATTTGAGTCTTCTAATATAAATATGGTTCAGATAAAAATTATTTCTGTCTGGAGTTAGCAGGAATCTTATTGATGGAGTCATGACCTGTTCTATCATTCAGGCTGTGGCTTCTATGTAGCATCTTCCTGGTGTTTGAATTAAAATCACTATAGTAACAAGTGTTACCTGATTGGAGACCAGGAGATGGAGCTTCTTGGTTTCTCTGAGGCAATTTTCTTTGCCTCTAAAGTCATCACCAGATCTTTGAAAGCCTTAACCCTAGTTGAAGCCATTTCGAATCTGCCATTGGGAATACCAGGGCAAAAGAAGTTGGATGATTTGGTTCCTTTAAGGAAAACTTGGGGTGCAAATGAAGCTTTTTGAGGAGCTCCCTAATCCTTCTCTATGGTGGGCTCAGTATTAGGAATGGAGGCTACAGGAAGAAGACATCCTGAAGTGGAGTTTGTTGTGTTTCCTCCTTTGGGAATTCTCTGTTTAGATCTACACTCCATTTTTAACTGGATTAATTGTTTTCTTGATATGCAGTTTTTTTAGTTTTTTATGTGTTTAAGATATTAGCCCTTTATTTGTTTTGTAGTAGTTCAACTTCTTTTCTTATTCTGTAATCTTCCATTTGTCCCAATGATGGTGTTTTATGCCAAACAGAATCTTTTCAGGTCCATGAAGTCCTATTTATTAATTGTTGTTCTTAGTACTTGTGCTATTATTGTTCTGTTCAGAAAGTCGCAGGGCCGTGGTGGTGCACGCCTTTAATCCCAGCACTCGGGAGGCAGAGGCAGGCAGATCTTTGTGAGTTCGAGGCCAGCCTGGTCTACAGAGCGAGATCCAGGAAAGGCACAAAGCTATACAGAGAAACCCTGTCTCAAAAAAACAAACAAACAAACAAACAAACAAAAAAACCAGAAAGTCTTTTCCTGTTCCAGTGAGTTCAAGGCTATTCTCCACTTTTTCTTCTATCATATTCAGTGTATCTGGCTGAGGTCTTTTTATCTATTTAGAGTTGAGTTCTATATAGTGTGATAAATATTGATGTATTTGGAATCTTCTACATGAGGTCATCCAGTTTGACCAGGTACATCTGTTAAAGATGTTGTCTACATTTTAATATGCATTTTTGGCTTTTTTAATAATGAAAAATTAGGTGTCCATTTTGCATGAGTTTATGAATTTATGTGAAGATCTTCAATTTGTTTCTATTGATCAATGTGTCTATTTTATGCCAACGTCAAACTTTTTATTACTATAGCTCTGTAATACAATTTGCAAACAATGATAGTGATATAACC